TGTGAGGACTTTTAGTTCATCAAACTTTAGTTTAATATTTTCGATACCATGGAAGATATTCATGTATAATTGATCAGACATGACCAAGTTTTCAACCATTTCACTTATTGATTTTTATATTCCTCTCAGCGTATAATGTAGCTTCTCTGAAATCCACCTAATTTCCACAGTTTTGACATTTTAAATGTACCTAGACATCACTAACTTAATTAGTAATTAATTAATTAGTAATAAATGGCCTTCCAGTGGCACAGCGGTATGTCTGCGGACTTACAACGCTAAAAGCCCATTGTGTATTTATGCTTAAAAAACAAACTTAACAATGTAATATGTCAATTTATTTATAAAGCTTAAATTCCTTTGCACAGAATACAGCGTGGGTCAAATATTTCTGGAGTGTCCAAATAACTTTGATATTTTAGCATACTTGTTTTTAAAGTACACATACCATAGGTTTTGTACAAGTACGTCCACAACTCGTATATCTTCAGTTCAATGTGACGAGTTTTAGAAGTATTTTATACACAAGTGTTTATGTAAAAACAATACTTGGCAAAAATGGTTACCTTTTATCATAGCTATAAATGTAACATGTTTTTACTTTTACAAAAATTGTATGAGAGGATGTTTACCCTGAAAATTACAAAGTTCTTCCAAAAGTAACTGCGCAATAGATATACTCTTGCTACAAGTGATTAATCAAATCAAAAATATGCTTTCTGTAAAAGTGAGCACTCTTTACATTTACTTCTAGTAGTAAGCACATTTAATTTACACTTCTTTTAAAAGAAAGAGCACAATGCACATATACTTATGAAAATAAGTATACACTACGTAACCATCTTCTGAACGCGCTTTATATTGTGTTTTTGCTTCTAACACACGTGATGTATATATACCTCTTTCTTAAGCATGTTCTACAAGCAAACAGTAAAATGTTCTTAACGATGATTAGATCATGATCCTGGCAGAATCGTCAATATTCACTGTTGTATTCCATTTAGCTATATTAATAGGATGTCAGCAGTTTGTCAGGTAAAGGAGAGTTTTAGGTAGACAAAACGACTTGTAACTCTTGACAATTTTACCAGTTATTTTCTCGTTGACTTGTATTCGAAATGTTCCCTACTAAAATATAATTACGTAAGAAAGAAAACTCGTAGCCGAAACACTGAACCAACAATAACTGATGAATATAGCTTGAGCTACACATACTTTTTTTTATATAGCGTAACTTATAGTAACCCTGGTCAATCTTTATGGATTGTAGCAGAAAGTGCTCTATGGTTTAACTGTACATTTTGCAAAATGCAACGACATTTACTGTATTTGCTTGTTTCTATGAAAATTTAGTACTTCCTTAGATTTTCAAGTCTATAAAGTTATATGCACTGCTAGTTTCTTTTTAATGTAAGATAAAGTATAAAATCGTATAAGAATTTTTAATATAAAACACGAACAAATTGGATTAGATTCATATAAAATAAACTAGTGAGTTCATTTTAAATAATTTTTGTCCCTATTCCAACTAAACCTAGCAATAATTATTCCTTGTTTGGACTATAACCCCAATTCCATTTTTTTCTATTACTCTTGAAGAAATGAACTCTGTGTTCCTCGTCTTTTTTTTCAGCAAAATTCCGTAAAGAATTCAAAAACACATTTAAGTGTAAATGTAAAGGCCACAGTTATAGAGGGCGTTCCAGAGGTACAGCTAACACCTTCAATTCTCGATACACAAGTTCGAAGACCCAGTGTGAAAACATTCACATGAATTCCATGCGCCGATTTACCTAGGAATCTTATATTCATCAGAGCGAGAAGACGATGGAGCCAATATTTCCTGAAAGAAAGGGAAAGCGTTTTGGAAATACACTTGATGTACTGGTTAAACAGCACTGTCCCATCATACGTTAACTCACTGTGAATATTCTCAACTTTTATTTTTATGCACTTATTATGTTTGTTCTGTTGTTTCTGGCAGTTTTTTTTTTATTCTTAACCATTATTCCATTATACTTGCATTTCTAAGTGATTATAGTGAACGCCCATGTGACCAATTTATATAATATCAATCACACAATGAGAATTTGATAAAAATTCGAAAAAAAAATGAACAATGAATCATAATGCTTAACGTAATAAATAGAAGTAGATTGAAGACTCACAAGTAAATTTGGAATACTTAAAACACGTACTTATAGTATGACTGTTCCTGTTTCAGAAACTCTAGCTTCTGCCAGTAAGTGAACAGATAAAAGCATTTGATTTTCTAATCGTTTATGATTTATATAAATGGTCATTTCGCGTGTACATTAGTAGTTTTGCAGTTGATGGAATATTTCTTTAAAACACCGCTTAAGTTTTTCGAGCACGAAAACAGTATTGAAATAAATCAGTTGGTATTATTGTTTAGCCACATTAAAACAATAACTTGTACTATAATTTACGTTCGACTAATTCAAAGATTTCGCTAGAGTCATCAAAATCCAGTTCTTAAAACAATTTTAAGATTAATTAATCAAAAGTTTCGGAAAGTGGCGTACTAAATGTTCCAAACTGTTTCGTCACTTCTGTATGATGTTCCTTTTAATTGTAGTCTAAGCAAGTTTCCACTGAAAGTGAAATATTGATTACATCTTTTACGCAAAAACAGTTTAAATGTTTTCGAAAGAATTATGAAACATCCAGATTGCTATGATACATGAAATGCAGTTATTGTACAAGTTAACGCAATCACATCCTTCACTCAACATGAAACCAAGACGCTTCAGAAGTAAAAAGTAGAAATATGAGAAACTTAACTAATAGCAAATGGATACACATATTAAATGTGAATAATGGAATAGCCAAACAATTAAATAGATTGACTAACGAGCATTTTCGACGTTTTGGAAGAGCTGTTACTTTTAAACTCTGTAAGAGTTATGACCTCGTTTTTTAAAACTAATATTATTTATTGTGTTGAAATTCCTAAGGTGTACAATGTTTTATCGATTACATACCTGAACTGTTTGTTATAAATGTGTGTGTATATGTATATATGGAAAGTATTATTGATACTTACATATCGTTAACACTATATTCGAAGATATTCTAAATAAATATTGCTTTTGTAAAAATCGATTAAAAAATCAGCTATTTAAATAAATCATTATCTTAAATTTCAATTTGTTAAAGTATTGGTCATATGCACTTCATATTTGCCAGAATATTGAACGAAACACGTCGAAGTTATTCAGCTACAATTCATACTTAAATGAGACTTTTAAAACTAACGTTACAGTAAGTATATCACAACAGTTGATATTATCTTTATTAAGTAAACTATGAGTATATTAAGTATCGAGGCACAAAAAACAACTGAATTAAAATATGTAATGATCTAATCAAGAAAACATGGAGGAAGAGAGCTTCACTCACACTTACGTGTAATTTTACTATATCTCCAACTGAATTATATACTCGTATGCTTTTTGACGTAAGTTGTAAGCCCACTAAAGCAAAATGGTCACTTTAAACCAGTCATAACTCATTGTAAGGGACAGAGCACGGATAGCCCACTCAAACACATACATATAATTCAATTCTCTTTCATTTTCATGCTGCAAGATGTGATTCATTGTTGTCTTAAAAAGTCTATAAGAGTGGCGGCCACTATTCCCTTAGAGTATCCACAGAATTGGCGGTAGGTTCTGTTTGACCTTCTTGTCTACCAGCTCAGGTAGCACATAATCCGAAACACACAAGCCTAAAGAAATCTAGGTCTTTTATTATAATGTCACTATGTTAATCAATTTTTTTTTTAAATTCAAAATACTGTTTTCCGTTCACTTACGTAAATTATGTGTATTTTTGTTCTAAGATTAGCAAAAATATATCCTACCGCTTTTTTTTTAACCATTATAGTGACATTTTCTAACTTCTAGCGTAATATATCAAAACAGTAACATGTATTTGTTTTTAAATTCATTATCACAATTAAATTTTCTGCAGGCTGCGGAACATTTTATGCTGTTAAAACTGTAAAATAATTGACATAAATTACAGTTTACGAACTTAATCTAGTCCACATTACAAATGTTGTTCAAGTAATTGATGATACAAATAGCGTTTGGATCCCTGTTATTTCTGTTGTATTGCCGTTGGTCAGACGAGGCCTGGTATTCGAGAAAAGTCTTATCGGCACTAGATGTAGCTTATATGGTGTGGTTGATATGTTATTATATTGCTATTTACTTTCATAAGTTCTTATAATAAATACTATTTATTATATAATGAATACCATGAAAATCTAAGTGTTTTAATGTGTGTTTTTAATTATAATATAATTTATCTATAACGTATGAACTGGTTGATGTTTCGCATATATTATTGATACCATATCGTGTAATCATCAGGTTTTGAGTACGTGTTTGGATAATTTAAATTATTGATTATTAAGATATTACAACATTATTTTTGTTTGGTTTAGAGCTTTAATGTATTTTCAAAAGTGTATGAAAGTTGACCCAATGATAACATCAATAAAGAAAGGCAGGACACATTTTAACTTAAACTAAATATTAACCTTGTTGATTAATGGTCGTAATGTGCATATTTAACATTACTTTAAAATCTTATTTTTTAAGAACTAGAAATATATTACGACAATCAAGTTTATCTGCGAACTTGTTAAAAGATGTGGTGTTCGTAGAAATATGAGACAAGGACTATGGTAAACAAGAACACGGTCCAGACGATAACATTCTTCACTAATTAAAAGGAAAAAATCGGCCATTTTTATTGATAAATTTGTTATTCGCATGACGTAACTCAGAACAAAATTAGTTTCTTTACCGCATTTCTAAAAACCCATTTTATAAGTCCCTATATCGTTGAAAAGAAAATTCAGTTTTTAGTTTTCTCTGTCTTTAAAATGTAACATTTTATTACATATTCTATTACATTTTAAAGGCAGTGAAAATTACTTTCTTTATTCTGAAGGAATAGTTTTGGAGTACAGATAAGTAATATCTTCCAGTAATTCTATTGAAAGATAAATTATATGTAGAAAATGACAACAACAAAAGTGCTTTAAGCTGAAGAAGAATGAAGCCTTTCATGCCACAGTAACTTACGAAATATCATAGTAGGCTGTTTGAGTTTTTAAGAGAAAGACCTCTAACTGCAGCCTTAACAACAGAGTTTAAGTATCTTGATAATAAATCACCCTTGACATTATGTACTTCGTCAAGTACAAGAGGTGAATTAATTGGTACTGCAGGACAAAGATTTATTTTAATATCAGTTACAACTAAACCTCAAATTAAAGTTTACGTATCCAAAAACTTGATAAAAATTACGTATTTGAAGTTGCATAAGTAGGCTAGTGTGATGCTTTAATGTTTCAACATTTGGACACTAGCTGGGATTTTCTTTGAAAGTGACATTCAATCTCGTTAATATTTTCGAAGCCCTTGTGACAGAAGATACTTCTGGTTTGTTGCCTTACATCTGGTTATTAGTTTAGAATGGCTACACCTGAATCCTAGAGGTTTCTGACCTAACAGCTTATCTCACGTGAGCATAAGGTTCCATTAAGGTTGAATATTCTACTTCGAATTGTTTGGAAGTAATAATATCATGTAATCTGAAATGTGAGGAAGATGGATAGTTAAATACTCTATAATTATATCTTTAAAAAATTCAGTCATTTTCTTTATAAAAAAAACTATGATTTACCCTTAAATCCAGAGAGCTTATGCGGGTTTTCCTTTTTTATTAAACAAACTGCTAATTAGGCTAGACTGATTACTCTTGTTTATGTTTGAATCTTTTCTTCCTAACTTTCTTAGAATCTAAAGTAAAAATATCATTGATAATCTATTCCCTACTTATCGTTTGATATCATAAAGTTCATTATTTGTTTCAACCCTTTGACTATAATACAATCTTGGGATAAGCACAGTATTAACAACAAGTTTCTTCGTACATACTGATCACCAGTAACAAATGTAATTTAAAACCCATCACCAAACATGCTTACACTTTTAGCCTTGGGGCATTATGATGTGACGTCAATCCCGTTATTAGTTTGTAAAGAATAACCCAACAGTTGTGTGTGTGTGTGTTGTTGATCAACTGTCTTCCCACTAGTCCGCAAATGGTCTTGAAGTAGCTTTGTGCGCAATTCAACAAACAAATAAAATGTACCTTAAACATTCATTAAATGTACCAAATTCCCCGTATGGGAATATGTACTTATTCGAATATTGGTTTTAATTTTTTGAGTTGGAAAATTAACTTCACTTAGTTAGACTCAATCTTTTTAAGGGTAGCATTTATGATATTTTTTAATTGTGGTTATTTGATATAATTCTTTATAATTACAGCATATCACTTACAATCGATCGTAATTAAATCAAAATCTTCTTTGCAACTGAAACTCTTTGTACTGCGTTTTAACATAAAATTTTCTCAAGATCTCTATCTGTTGTATCACTACCAGTTGTTCTAATCACGTGGTAAAAACAGTTTAAAAGAGAATAAGTGGCATATGTTTCTATATATGTATGTGTCTTTTTAATTAGTACGTACGTATATGATGTATGTGATATGTAATGTAAAACGTTCGTTAAATTATGTGCTTAATATATAGATATATTTAACATTCTATTGTTCCAATTAAACTAGCTTGTAAGCATGTTTATTCCGTGGAATGTAAACGTCAAGCCTAATAAAATAATGTATTTTGAGTTTCCTTTGACATTGTTTCTGTTTTGTTATGTCCAAAATAAAAATGAATACCATATACAATTTAAGTTCACACACACAAAAGTGAAATAAGATTCTTCTAGATCATAATTTCTAGTCAACATATGTACTAATTTTTTTTTTTTTGTATTGAAGAAATTATGTCTCATTCTTTGACCATTAAATGACAACTTTGAGGAAATTTTGTAGTTTCCTATCGGAATTCAAACATTTAAACTTAAAGCCTGTTGTCCTTTATTACAATATAATTGTATACATTAATAAATGAAAACGAATATATATCAAAATTCAATTTTGTTATATAAATGTTTTCTATCTATCAACATATTTTTAGTAAGAAAGCCAACTTAAGAATTTGACTCATGGGGTTATATATATCTGCTGTTGAGAATAGAAGATGTAATCATCTGTTGTGGTTAAAGTAAAAAACAAATACATGATAGATGCCATAATAATATGTTTTGAAATACACGTATTGCAATGTGATATATATCTAAGCTACTGGGGGTATATCTTTCACTCATGAAAACCAGAAATTTGTTTTTCTCTAAAATTGTATTCTGATGGCTGATACTTTTAACTTTTCTTAACGGCAGCCAGGATATAGGAATGTGTCGTAGCTAGTAACGAACCGGGTTTTGTAAGTACCCTAAACGTTCGTAACGTACCAGGCATTTTAAGTATCCCAAACGTTTGAAGCTCAACATTATGTAAAGTACAGTAGAAAACATTCCTCATCTCATTTTTGTAAATCTGACGAAGAATGTTCAAATATACACATCATTTTATTGTTCTAAAATATTTGGGTTTGCCAAATAGCATTATCTAAAGAATAGCCGGTTTCAGCAGTTCTTAGTATAGAATATCATTAATATTTGAATGATTCTAAGAGCTTAAGATCGCTTACGTAATTATCAAAGGCAGAAGATATTGATTGTATAGTTATTTCATAGCACCCTTTATAGTACAGTTAACCTTCAGAAATCATAGCATAACCAACTAACACAAATTAAAATCTGTTTAAACGAAATATAATTATGCTTAAATTTTTCACACCAGTTATTGCTGTTTCCTGTTTTATTTTTGCAAAAGGTTTTATTAGAACTATAACCAAATTTGAAAGAGTATAAATGCATTTAATCAAGAGTTTTATGTTCATTAAGACTGTAACCGTCAAACCACATATTCTTATAAGAAATAAAAGCTTAAATATGTTACTTTTATTGTTTTTATATGTATGTTTTGCATACTTATTGGTAAAAAACATACTGAGGCTTAGATAACTATTCAAGTTCCATATGTTCAAATATTTAAAAAAAGAGCCAAATGAAATTTGAGTTTTATTTGATAGAGAAATGTGAAGGATTAATTTAAAACAAAATCAAACATGATAAATGATTGGAGTGAAAGCAATAATAAGTACTGCTTCTCAGGTATATATAATACACTGCTGAAAGGAATAATAACAAACTCTTGAGGTGATATTTTCAAAATTATATTAATGCGTACAAACTGCTACAGACACTAGAAGTGGCTTCATTATTTATCTGTTTCTATTTGCAAGGTATTTATATTAACTTATATTAATCCATGCACAACCAGGGATTTCATTACAAAAAGAAAAAAATCGTCTTTCACCAAGCAAAAAACATCTACTGAGGATTCACTTGGTTCACAAGACACAAACTTTTAAATTACCTGCAGTACTGTTTACCTTATTATATACATCCTTATTAAAAAATTCACAAAATCTTGGGTAAAACCCATTTTTCCAGTTTAATTATTCTCTAACACTCGTGAAATAAGAGTTTTCAACTTCTCTCATAAAAAAAATACTCTTTCGAAGTCTGTTTGTTTCCTTTACTGAACAATGGAAATATTTCTGCATGAAAAGCAAATTAATCGATGAGCTATTCGACAAAAGTCCTTCATCGTTATTTGTCAATAAACATGAACAAGTAGCTATGAATTATTTAGTGGTCACATGAATCTAAGGCTGATGAAAATAATCTGGTTTTATCATAAAAAGAAATAGTAAAAAATCGATTATCAGAATTCTGATGAATTATAATATAAAACTAGAGAGAGAAACTCGTACTTCTGATACGAAACAGAAATAGTAAAAAATCGATTATCAGAATTCTGA